AGGGGAGGAAGGTTACCAAGTGAGATGATCTATGTCATCATTTCACGCATTTCGGTCCTCCTTCCCTTCTAACAGTAAGATTCACCCCAAGTCTCATTACGGGCTAGCGAAATCGGCTGACAGGACTGAAATTTTAGAAGGGGCATACAGCTCTTACAGTAACCCTCTGTTTTTCACTACCACTCAGTGTTCTTGCCCAAGGCCCGTTTTCGACGCATCCTACATGTGAAGAGAGAAAACTTGCGTATTTGAGATAGGTTTATGCTGTGCCGGATTACTGTGGGAGCCGAGTGGCCGCTTTCATAGTCCGCGATTCGGCCCGCGATCGAGCGAGCGAGCGACCAGCTGCGGCGCTTGCCCCTTGTTCACATATGAATCTTGGTCGATACCGCAGGACGAGTAGTCCCCGGTCACTATGCAGCAGACAGAGCCGTATTAAGTTTTCGGTTCTGTGGTAGGTTAACCCTTTTTTGAGCTCAAGCGCTTGAAAAAGAGAGGCGCTCCCCTCCCTCCTCCAAACTACATTTTTTCCTCATTGGGTACATTTCTGGCATAAATGTGGTCATAATTATACAAACTAAGTGGAATATTTCAACAGCAACGTAACGACCCGTTCGACTTTGGACGTTAGGCGCGTTGTGCGTTTATTACCGCGCACCGCATTTGAGCCTTATGAGATTGGCGCATGCGTCGTTGCTGACGCATAACTGGTGCAGCTATTGATTACTTTGCTGCTCCGCTTAGGTTCGAATTGGTACCTGTGGTTCTAAAGCTCTTTTTTGGACTTTACTTAATCACGAATAGTTTGCAGTTATTATTGCCCAATCATAGTCATATAGAGCATTTGTTGTGTAGTCGTATTTGACTTTCATGTTCACTGCAGTTTTAGCATTTTTGAAAGTAGCTTGCCCAATCTCTGGTTCCATCTACTCGTTTTTATACATGTTCTTTGCTACGTCATGCTTATCTTCGCTAGGAAGTCCTGCACGCTTCCACCAATCTTAAAATACTTCCTTTTTTGAAAGCTTTCCTTTTGAAGAATGTAAGAAGAAAGAAATTTCAACTTTTTGTCTGTTCTTTCGAAGAGCATCGCATCAACATTTGTGCTTAATCGCCTTTTTTCTAATCAAGTTCAAGGTTTTTTTTCAGCTCGTGTCATCTGAATTTTTTTATAACTCATAAACTTGGTAGAACTTTCTAGAATGTCAAAGACTGGACATGCTAGAGAAGGTATGTTGCCAAATTGCGTTTCATATGAATGCATTCTACATATTTGTCTTTTTACAGATGCAGAAGCTTATGCCCAAGAATTGAACAGAAAAAGGATACTCCAAATGACTGAGGATGAGAAAGATGAAAATAACGAAAATGGATCCGATAAAATAGCTTTTGGAGCAGCCGGGCATTATGACACAGTGAGCATACTATTGAAGTTTTGAGTTACTTAGATATTTTCAAATTAAGATTCTATATCGATTAGGATTATTCGAAAATTTACACCGATTTTTCCCATATACATGAGCTTGAAAGAAGTGCTGAAGTTTCTTATTGTCCAGATTTCATTTGAACTTTTTAGGACGTTTATGGCAGTGTACGCGGAAACAGAAGCGGTAAATACCTTGACTCAATCAATACAGCAGACGAAGATGATATTGATGAGGATACTATTGCCCCAATGCCGAAAAAGGCAATTAATGCCCCAGCGAAATTCATACATGAAGCTTCCCACACTGGTGCTGATGTAAGTCCGTTCTTAGTTGACAGAAAGCAGTCTTCTGTTTTTTACACAACACTTTAAAACTGTTCATTTTGAGCGGGTGAATGCAATGTGAATTGAAATTTCAATAGGAAAAATTCTTCGGAATGCTCTGGCTCTAAGAGTAGTCATTTTTTTGTAGATTCTACTTCCAGTATAACAAGAAATTAAGTGACCAACTGGCAACTGTTTTTAAAGTGTTTTGGAAATGCTTCAGGAAAGCGATCCATTTGCTGAAACACGAACAAAGACAATCATAGAGCGACAAGCATCCAAATATGCAGAACGTGCTCGGCATAGAGCAATTTCACCGGACAGAATTGATGCGTTCAGTAAGTATTGTTGCAGAATTTGGAAAAAAATCAGTCAAATAACTTCTCCAGTCCTAAACCCTTTTTTCTTCCTCAAAAAACATATGATATGGTAGTTTCAAATTTCATAGGGCCGTAAATAAGGACTTTCCAAAGGGCTAAAACATAAGTTTTTCAAACATTAGGCATTACTTGTCTGTTTTCATGACTGGATAATGAGGTTCGGTTCCATGTTTGTAAGATGTCCTCCCTCATAGTAAAACTTTTAATTTAGTTGACCAAACGCCCGATCAAAGAGACCGTGGCTATGCAGAGATTATGAAAGAGCAGAAGTACAAAGAAGAAAAGGGAAAGGTTAGTGTTGTAAGTCTCGATAAGGCATTGTGAAATTCTATAAATTGCACTTCAGAGTGAGTTACTAGTTGATCCATAGTGTAGCAACCATTTCTAGGTTGAAAAAGAGCTCGCAGACCGTCATAAGGCAGGCGAACTGCAGTCAGTTGCTGCACCCGAGCGCAAGAAAGGAAGGTGGGATGAGACTCCTAATCGAGAGGTTGGTATCGTTTGTATTTTGTGGGAAAACTGTTCTGTGGTATTGTTCTCTTCGGGTTGTGATGTATGCTTCTTCTAGGTTCTCGGTGCAGGATCTGCCACGCCCTCTGATGCAACTCCCGGCGCTGCTCCACGAAAACGATTGGGAATATCAAGTATTAGCGCTGATGTTAGGATTCTTTTGAATAATTTAATTTAGTATACCCATTTTCATGTCTCATTAACGTGAATGACAAATTCCCTTATTCAGGCTGCCACACCACACGTGGCTCGATGGGAAGAAACTCCTGCTCACGCTAATGCTACTGATGCCACACCCTCTATAAACAGGTGGGATTGCCACGTGAATTTGTTGCGTGAAGGTTGCCAAATTTTGAACACTTTAGGTTTGACTCCACTCCCTCAACACAAACTCCAAGAAGAAATCGGTGGGATGAAACGCCTCGAGAGAGTGTCCGCGATGCAGGAGGTATGACTCCCGGCTGGGGAATGGATACTCCTGCACGTGCAACAGATGATGTTAAGGTAAGAGCTAATCAAAATTTACAAAAATTGTGATTCTTCTTGTTTCGGAAAAGTTCTACAAACTGACGATTATTGCAACACATAGTTCATAATTTAGGTCGAAGATACACCGTCTGCCTCCAAGCGACGTTCTCGATGGGACTTAACACCTTCGCAAACGCCAGCAGCTGGTTCTGTAACTCCACAAGCTGGTGCAGTAACGCCATCTTTCACCCCTAGTCACGGAAGCACACCTGTAAGTTTACTAGGGTGATGTTTCTGCAAGTATAATGATCGCTTCTCAATTTAGGCCGGAGCATTAACCCCAGGAGGAGCAACTCCACTTGGAACACCGGCAATGGTCATGAAGACTCCCGCAGTGGCAGTACCAATGACACCTGATCAAATGAAAAATTTCCTATGGGAGAAGGAGATTGATGACCGTAATCGTTCACTAACAGACGAAGAGCTAGACGCACTGTTTCCGCCTGGATATAAGGTACTTTATCGATTAGGGCAGACTCCTGTAATAAACAGCTGAAGGACTGCTTATTTGTATCATGGTAATATCACCGCACTCAGCTTTTCTTGTTCAGATTCTTCCTCCTCCTGCTGGGTACATGCCTTTGAGGACCCCATCGAGGAAACTTTTGGCAACGCCTACTCCTCTTGGTGGTATTGCAGCGGGTGGTTTCTTCATGCAAGGCACTCCAGAAAGAGAAGGACTCGGTGACAGAGGCCAGTAAATGCTTGCTTCTACGATTTACTTTCCTTAGTAATAAGCTAAAGGCTTACTATTCAGGTGTTGGTGGGATTCTCGACACGCAACCAAAAAATCAGGATCTCCCTCCATTGAAGCCGGACGACATGCAATACTTTGACAAATTGTTGATGGATGTAGACGAAAGTGAGTGTTCTCATTTTTTTGTTCGTAGAGGCTTTCGATTTTACTGCATTTACTCATTTCTATTGAAGGCACACTAACGAAGGAAGAGTTGAATGAACGCGAAATCATGACCCACTTGCTGAAAATCAAGAACGGTTTGCCACCGCAAAGGAAAAGTGGTCTCCGAAAGGTACTTCTGCTCAGTCTTAGTAATGTGTTGACACTGAGTACCTTCCAGTCTTTTTCAGATTACCGAAAATGCGAGGAAATATGGCGCCGGACCTCTATTCAACCAGATTCTTCCACTCTTGATGTCTCCTTCTCTAGAAGACCAGGAGCGTCATTTAATGGTTAAGGTGAGAGTTTAGTCATCTGTTGGAAGTTTTGAATTATTTGATACAAGAGCACGATAAAATTTTATTGATTATGTATTAGTTGTCCCAATGCTATGCAGGGTGGGACTCGGCAGTCATTCAGTGATAGCAGGAAAAAGAGGCGAAAACCATCCGGAGCCAGAATATCCTTCTTAGTATCCTCCCGTTTTCAGGGGTTTCACTGCATCCTTTCAAGATGGTAGGGCTTTAGTATAACGCACATCGGAGGCCTATTTCAAAATCNAGATTCTTCCACTCTTGATGTCTCCTTCTCTAGAAGACCAGGAGCGTCATTTAATGGTTAAGGTGAGAATTTAGTCATCTGTTGGAAGTTTTGAATTCTTTGATACAAGAGCACGATAAAATTTTATTGATTGTGTATTAGTTGTCCCAATGCTATGCAGGGTGGGACTCGGCAGTCATTCAGTGATAGCAAGAAAAAGAGGCGAAAACCATCCGGAGCCAGAATATCCTTCTTAGTGACCTCCCGGTTTCAGGGGTTTCACTGCATCCTTTGAAGATGGCAGGGCTTTAGTATAATGCACATCGGAGGCCTATTTCAAAATCCATGCTCATCGAACTGAAAGCTGCGGGGTTCATGTTTTCGAACTGTTTGGGATGCATGCCGAGCCCCGCCATGAGCGCTGCATTGTTTTCAATGACACGAGTTATTCAATGTTCCTCTTTGCACGTGCGCTTTTAGAGTGACGCGCAGAGCAGAGGGGAATCGTTGCCGATGATTCTCGCACGGTAAGTTACGGTAAGTAATCTCTCAGATATGCGACATTGGGAGCGACGACTTCAAATCAGCTGCCCTTTTTGATTTATTTTTTTGTATATTTGCTTTAGTGTGCTTGACTAATTTTATATCATGCTTTCATGTCTCCGCTCGCGAATTGAAGTCTACTTCTACTTTTTAGGTAATCGATCGTATACTCTACAAGTTAGATGACCTCGTTCGTCCATATGTCCACAAGATTCTTGTGGTGATTGAGCCTCTTCTCATTGATGAAGATTACTATGCAAGAGTTGAAGGTTTGAATTGAATCCTTTATTTGCGGGCAGCTCATCACTTTGATGAGTTTTCGTGGTTCAGAAGGAGACCGGTAATGCTCACGGACTTGTCTTCAGAGCTAATCAGAAATCTTTCATATTGCAATGTAACTTAATAACTTTTATATTGCAGGTCGTGAAATTATATCCAACTTGGCCAAAGCAGCTGGGTTGGCAACCATGATTTCTACGATGAGACCCGATATTGACAACGTGGATGAGTGAGTCATTCAGTGTATTGAATGTATTTATTGATATTTTCATGTGGTCATGTGCTTGTTTACCCCTGCTCACATCTAAACAATCGGTTCAGGTACGTGCGAAACACTACAGCGCGTGCTTTTGCTGTAGTCGCATCCGCTTTGGGTATACCTGCATTGCTTCCTTTCTTGAAAGCTGTCTGTAAGAGCAGAAAAAGTTGGCAAGCGAGACATACTGGTATGTTTATTTATCTCATATATATCGTGTGCCAGGAATCAGCCATTTCTATTTAGGAATAAAAATTGTGCAACAAATGGCTATTCTTATGGGTTGTGCAGTGCTTCCCCATCTCAAAGCCCTTGTTGAGATCGTTGAAGGTGGATTGGAAGATGAACAGCAGAAGGTGATATCTTCATTTGTTCTGGAAAAGCGGTCTGGAATTGTTTCATATTCAAGGTACGTACAATCACAGCTTTGTGTCTTGCCGCTCTTGCCGAGGCTGCTACACCATATGGTATCGAAGCTTTCGACTCCGTGCTAAAACCTCTTTGGAAGGTTAGTGAATTTGGAGATACAAAAAATTGAGTATGTTAAAATAGCCTGTGTTCTTAGGGTATCCGTATGCATCGTGGAAAAGGTCTAGCCGCATTCCTCAAAGCGATTGGTTATCTAATTCCTCTTATGGATGCCGAATACGCATCTTACTATACCAAGGAAGTGATGCTTATTCTCATAAGGGAGTTCGCTTCACCTGATGAGGAAATGAAGAAGATTGTGCTGAAGGTATATTTAAATTTAGTATTTGATTTGTATTTGAGGGGCGAAGGGTCATACTGATAACGTTGTTCTTACTCAGGTAGTAAAACAATGTTGTGCTACCGATGGTGTTGAAGCACCTTACATTCGGGACGAAATTTTGCCACATTTCTTCAAAGCGTTCTGGACGCAACGAATGGCAATGGATAGAAGGAACTACAGGTAACCGTTATCGCAACGAAACGATGGCCACCCTCTTACGATTGGAAGAAATGTTGCACGTAGTTCACAACGAAACTTATTCAATTGGAAGTCTTTTAGGCAACTTGTGGACACCACCGTTGAAATGGCACAGAAGGTAGGTAGCGCAGAAATGATTGCGAGGATTGTGGACGATTTGAAAGATGAAAATGAACAATACAGGTACCACCTAACCTTTTATATATTTAGTCAATGCTTCGGCCTCTTCTTCCGCGTAAGCGTGCTTCTTTAGGAAAATGGTTATGGAGACCGTAGAGAACATAGTTGCATTGCAAGGTGCGAACGAAATCGATTCTCGTCTCGAAGAGCAATTGATTGACGGTTAGTTCATGGTTGTAGGGTATATGTTATCATTGTCTGTTTCCTTCATTTCTTTTTTTTTTCGAAGGAAGGATTCATTGAATGTGTTCTCCTTCCAGGTATTCTTTATGCCTTCCAAGAGCAAACACAAGAAGATGCTGTTATGCTTGATGGTTTCGGTACGGTCTGTAAAGGCCTGGGAAGGTATGTCGTCTGTTGCTTTTAACATTGCGTGCTTCTTTCCTGCAATTGCATTGTTCTAATTACAGGCGAACAAAACCATATCTCCCACAAATTTGTGGTACAATTTTGTGGCGTTTGAACAATAAGTCCGCCAAAGTGCGACAACAAGCCGCTGATCTTGTAAGTGTTTGATTTTGATTTGCTGACGACAATGTCATCGCAGTGGAATTATCAGCCATTTTAAGATTGCCCGAGTTGCTCCTGTTATGCACATCTGTGAAGAGGAAAAACTGATGGGCCATTTGGGTGTCGTTTTGTACGAGTATCTTGGAGAAGAGTACCCTGAGGTATTTTCAAGTCATGTGCTTCGGTAATGAAATGTTGAATATTACTTCAATCGTATATAGGTTCTTGGATCAATTCTTGGTGCGTTGAAATCAATTTGTAATGTGATCGGTATGACAAAAATGACTCCTCCCATCAAGGATCTTTTGCCGAGGTTTGTACGACTTCAAATACAAATGTTCATATATCGGTCCTGTTCTGATCTGTTCGATCCGTGCCGCTAAAACGTGGGATAATACAAGAGGTGTATTTTGTTGCAATTTCAGGTTGACTCCAATTCTGAAAAATCGTCACGAAAAGGTACAAGAGAACTGCATTGACCTGGTAGGCGCAATTGCTGATCGTGGTTCCGAATTTGTGTCTGCCCGAGAATGGATGCGTATTTGTTTCGAACTTCTCGAATTGCTCAAAGCCCACAAAAAGAGTATTCGTAGGGCTGCGATCAACACCTTTGGATTCATCGCGAAGGTATTTTTTATTCAAGCAGCGTTACTGAGTATACTAGCAGCTACCTGACAAGATTTGTCTATATTTCTAGGCGATTGGTCCCCATGATGTCCTCGCAACACTGTTGAACAACTTGAAAGTTCAAGAAAGGCAGCTACGTGTCTGTACTACAGTAGCTATAGCTATTGTAGCGGAAACTTGTGCTCCTTTCACCGTACTACCAGCAATCATGAATGAGTACCGTGTACCGGAAATGAATGTTCAGAACGGAGTGCTCAAGGCTTTATCGTTTATGTTTGAGGTAGGAGCTTTTGCTTGTTATTCTATATTTTATTTAAATTAAATTGTGTAGCTGCGGGATCAGCTGGAAAGTGAGAGAACCTGTTTGACAGGTTCGTGATTTCTTCCTGTTTTTGGAATTGCAGCTTTGAAGCTTTTCGGAAGCATGTGTTGTCTAGTAAGTAGGCGAACTCTGAAAAAAAAGGAAAAAAGAAATTGCTTCTTTTGCAGAAAATAATGGTCATCTTCTCTAACCATGTTGTTTTACAGTATATCGGTGAAATGGCAAAGGATTACATTTATGCCGTAACACCATTGCTGGTCGATGCCATGATGGAGCGGGATCAAGTACATCGGCAGATTGCGATTGATGCAGTTGCTCATCTTTCCCTCGGTAGGACTTGAACTTTTTTTTCACTTGGCGAAATAGATTCTGGCAGTATTTGGATGTTATATTCCCTTTCCAGGTGTTTATGGTTTTGGTTGTGAGGATGCATTGTTGCACCTTCTGAATTACGTTTGGCCTAATATGTTGGAAAACTCTCCCCATCTCATTCAGCGTTACATTTTTGCTTGTGAAGGAATGCGTGTCTCACTTGGTCCTATCAAGGTTTGTTATTAATTTTAAAATCAATGAGTAGTCTTCTTGATTCGAGTTCTTCTAAAATTAAGCATGATCGTTCTAAGTCTATTTGTTATCAAAGCGTATCTTTTCCAGGTTTTACAATACTGCTTGCAAGCTCTGTGGCATCCAGCGCGTAAAGTGAGAGAACCTGTTTGGAAGGTTCGTTATTTCTTCTATTTTCTCTATGAGGNTTATCTTCCTTTTCCTACTACAATAGTACTTTGCTTTACTGGTTTTGGAAATGCTTCATGCCTAGGCTGGATCTCTGTCCAGCGTAAAAAACCTTTTGAACTTATTAGTAATCTATGAGAAGCTATTTGTTCGCTTCGATGTAAAGGACTTATATGGCTTCACTAGTGACCGTGAAGTGAAGATAATACCATCATTGGAAAGTCCTCTCACGAATAATTGGTGTACACAATAGCTGCTGCGCAACAGGGTTATGGAATTTCACCACTGACCATTGCCAGGGTGCAGTGCGACCAGGGACGACGTGGTATCTGTTGCGGAAAATATTTCAATGGGCTTTTTCAGGAGTTCTTTTTTTGAGCCCCATTGGGCCCTTTTAAACCCCTGCCACTTAATTCCTGGCGTCTTTTCGAGAAGAGGAAGTAAAGATGTAGTGCAAAGTGCAGAATTAGCAGTACTGGAATGATTTGTGACAGATGATCATTGGAAACTTGCCTTTTTTATATGCGGTTCCTAGTTCTTTCTTCACAGAAATTGATTCATTCTGAACATTGTCCTTACGAGACTATCACTATTTAGGTTTACTTTTACTACGTTTTTCAAAGGTTTAAAAGATGCTTTTCAGGTTTACAACAATTTGATCCTTGGCTCCCAGGACGCCCTCGTTGCCGGTTATCCACGTATTGAAGATACGGAAAAGCACACATTTGTACGATACGAGTTAGATTACACCTTATAAGAATTAGTACATATATATTGGCGGTGGTTTTGAATCAGATAGGTAAAGAAAGATGGAACTGTCTTGGGTTCTTCTACGTTTTGTATCCCCTTGTTGCAAGAGCTAGCCAAGTGAGAGACTCATTTACTAGAACAGTTCCTCCATGGTTTTGCAGAAAGTGCAAAGTATAGTATCTCTGAAATATTCGTTTTGTGAATGTAATAACCATTTGTTGAATGCTTCCTCTCCAACGACGTCCTGTTATTTGTTTGGCAACAGTTTTCTGGCTACTGGTCAAATTGTGGATTTTTGCGTTTGGATCCTCGATGATGTGGTATTGTAAACAGCCGAATGTGTATCAAGTGAAAGTTGTATTTATCTTCGTTGCTTGTTGTTTTGTTGAACTTAAGTATTTAATTTTCAATTCAGAGTAATTGGTTGTACGGATTCATTCGTCGTTTCAGAATGAAGTTCTTGAAAGTTCATTCTATTCTGTCATGATTAATGGTGAACAACATCCTTGTATGATACTGCCGGGTAGTTGTGAAAAAAGTTGGAGTTCTTAGTATGAATTTTTCGCATCATCCTTTGTGCACTGGAAAACCCGTTCAAGTGAAGACTGACTTTGGAGAATGATGTACAGTTAGATGTACTCCTTATTGGCGTGGAGCAAATTTGTCCTCGTAGTTGTTAGTCAAGATTGGGGACCAGGTTTATGTGATAGGAATCCGTGCACCCAAGTCAATCATGCTTGGGCAAAAAATTTGTTTTGGTAGGATCAGTACGTAATAGTTCCCGCCCGCTTCTAAACAACCATGGGTTGCTCAGGTTTTTTTTTGTAAGAAGAAAAGGTTTTCTGGTATCAGGGTGTCTGGGCGTCCACTATTCTTCGTAAAGCGATGATACGAACTCGAATTCCGGAAAAGTTGTTAGGGTTCGGCTTTTTACTGAGTGAAAACTCAAATGAAATGCAGGCTTTCAGGAAGCACTAGTATAGAATGTGATGTGCTCTGTAGAGGTCCCCTCGACCAGTGAAGGGACCCAATCGTTCCCTATACGAGCCCGAGTCGATCTTCATACTACTGATCAATGTCGTTGTGTTCGAGAAGCAGTACCGGTTAGCGTTTACAGAAGCTGTTGACTTTCCTTCTTTTCCGTTGCTTCTGAACAGCTTTCATTTGAAGTATTCTATACAAACTTAAACGACCAGTGTTAAATTTAAACACCTTTTCACGGTTTCCTTTCAAACTCCTTAATCGATTACTATCGAGAGCTTGGAAATGAACTCTTCTGTGAACGTTTCAATGTTCATTTAAATCTCAGAGCTTAAGATTGAATTAGAACTTTTAATCTCTTTATTTCTTCTCTCGACTCGTAGAATTCCTTTTCCTCTGCTTGTTGCTTTCGGAATTGTACCTTTGTGCCGTTTCTAGCGGACAGCAATTGTGGTAAGCTTTTATATTATTTATTTCTGTCAACTGAAAAGCTGTTTAAACATTTTCTGACTTTGAGATATGTGGAAGAAATACTGTAATTAATGTGAACCCTATTTTCGCACTTCCAAACAAGCACTTACACTAAATCCCTAAATAAGCCTTGTCCCTAAAATCGTACTCCTCTGCGTAAAAATATTAAGCGCTCTTTTCTTGAAGTACTCACTAAGCAGTTTTGTAAGTTTATGGTTTTCTTTTCGGATTTCATTCGTGTCAATTCTGATTCAAAAATTTCAGAAAATAAAAGGACAACAGTGCCAGAAGAATCACAATGTCATAGTGGTGAGCATTCGAAACTTTCCTACGAAAACAGCAGTAGTTTAGAACTAGTTACTTCAGGTCGGAAACAGCGAAGTGGGTAAATTGTTCGCACCTGGAACCTTCTTCAGCATAGAAACCATCGATAAAGCACGCACTCAAATAGTTATTTGTGTGGACGAATTTATCGAGAAGGAACTGAAAGTAAGTGTGACGATGAAATTGTCGGTTCCAAGGATGTGTCTTATACGAGTTTATTCAGGAAGTAGTTATATCGGTAGATCGTTCCTTCCTTGGAGAATCCCTTTCAAAGACCTTCTCATCAACAGGTGGTGTATCAGTGCTGGCAGAGAAGAGGAAGATTGAAGAGGTGCTTTTAAACTAAGTTTCATTCATTATTATTATTGGTAGACATTATTCAACAGCAACATTTTGCATCTTATTTTCGTAATACCTGGCTACGGCTGTGAAACTTTCATTTAATTACTTCACACTATTCTCAAGAGTTGTTCAGGTCACCTTGGATAATATTCAATTAACCTTCAAAGAGTTGTACATGAGTCGAGCAGACATGTGGCGTTACAGATCGAGGCTGATAAACACATGCGCTTATCTTGACAAACAGGTTAGTAGTCTTTACATAGCTTATTTTTAACCAAGTAAGCTTTTATTTGAGCCTTCCGATGCGATGGAATTTCTTTAATTTCCAACCTGAGCGGTCTGAGCGACTAATTTTTCCATTTAGCTCCGGCATTTCAACATCCCTACTAAAATTTCTGATATGTGGCAAAAGGGAAATATTGTGCGAAGCGGTTATGTCTCGTCAGACACACGTGTTGTATTCCGTTCAAGTAGTAGCTCGGTCAGTGAAAGTTCTTAGTTACAAATAATTTTTTTGGTGTCATCGATTGAGTCTTATTCCATTCAGGTTCTTATATACATTCAAATGAGTTCAGAAATGTGGCAGATGGATCCTCAAGGAGACCTTTACTTTGAAAAATGTGTGAAAGGCAAGTAGCAATATGTACTGGCATTTTTCTCGTCAAAATTTTCTTTCGCCGTTGGATCGCTACTAGCTCATACGTTAAGGATTTATGGCCGAGCTTTTTTCGAAGTGGTATCTGAACTCCAGCGCACATTACGTGTCAATCATTTTATGCTCCCGATTTTATCTGCTTGGTGAACCAGACAAAGATATTGATGAGCTACTGGGTCCCAATGCTCGCGATCATCGTGGACGTTACTTTCAGGTGAATCTAGGTTGCTGCTCTTCCTGAGTTCTACTGCTCGCGCTCATTCGATCTCTGATTAACTCTATTGATTGTTATGGTAAAAAAAGGCATCTTCTCTTTGCTTAGAGACTACGATTTTTACAGGATTTCTACCGTCTTCTGGTTCAAAATGAGCACTATGAAGATTGGAGCCACGTTCTTTCCACGGTATGTCCTCCTAGGCTACTCCGGTTTGAGTTTAACAGAAAAATTAAATCGGGTATCAATCTCTGTTTCCGTGACAACTCTTTGTGGTAAAAGTACTTTAGTGCACCTTCACCTATATGAAGTGAAATATCAGTTGAAGTTGTAAAGTAAAAGTTACAACAACAAAATAGTGCCCTTAAAGTACCTTAATTGCTATCATAAATTCTCCCAATGTTCCTCTTTTAGATCAAGCTGTCCTTCAACAGATACCAAGAAACGATACAAGAAGTGCTGGCTGCGAACTATCCTAGTTTAAAGTAAAGATTAAAATGTTTTCTGTTCAGTCGATGCCTTTAATTATGGAGGCGTCTTTTCCAGAGGACGTTGGGAAATCTCAACTGCTGCGGATGGTAATTTCCTACATGTGCTAAATATGAGTATGAACTCGTTCAATGTCTATCATACAGATAGGAGGTTTGAAACGACTGGCCAGCAGGTGAAAAATTAATTTTTTGAAAAAATACCCGTTCATTTGTGTTGTTTTCGCTCTTAATTCCTTTCAAGCCATTGTCACGAATCCTGCTCTATAAAAGCCTTAGGTGTTTCTTCAGATTATATTCGTGACCCCCGGTGGAGGTGTTCTGAATGTGGACCGTGAGATGGTGAATATGACTAAACAACGGATTATTGATATGGGAATTTCGCTTGACATGGTAATCCGTTGAATGATGTGCTATGAATAACGAAGTTATGACTTTTGTTGTTTTGAGGTGTGTTTGGGTGAGCAACCGCTGCACGCAGTGCCATTATTTGTGTTTCACAACCGTTGGTCGTCGTCGCAACCATTCGAAGACTATTTTATACCTCATTGGATGAATTACTCGTATTATCGAATGAACAAACGCAGTGCTATATCAATTAACTTTCGCCCACGCATAAATCTTCCTAATGAGATGCTGGTGAGTGCTCACGAATTGATTTGCGAGATAAATTTGCCTTCATCAGCAACTCCATGTCTCATCCAAAGCTCGATTACGATATGTCGTGCATGGAATTAATGTCAAGATTTTCTGAATTTTTGTACCCAAGTTAAACAATCAGGGAGGGCCCCCCAAAGATGAATTGAGTATTAGTTAGATGACGTATTCTTGCGAAGGTTTGTTGCCAAAGGGGATGCTGGGCTGTAGATGTTCAGAAGAGGAAATGGAATAGACATATCAAGTTCAAAAGCTTCTGGAAGTTTTGCTCTTAAAAGCTCAAAATTGGTGAGGAGGTAGTAAGGGTAAAACAATAGCAAGTGACGGCCAGGACGTAATATTGCTGAAAAAGCAGCAGTTTTCTGTATAAGCTTGTTTATATTTATGTTAAAATTTATTTCAGTCTGCACCACGCACGCTGGTTATGGGTGGCGAGACTGTACAACATTGTGATATGCATGCCTACGATACGGAAGCATTTTCGAAGTTGTTGACCCAGACCAGGTAGGTATGAGTTGCTGTAAAAAGGAAATTTTCTTTGTGTGAAGAACAGAGGTATAGCTTTGGGTGAGCAGCCAGCACGGCGAAGCTACATACTTTTCCGTAGCCTATTTGACACCTCTCAGTACTTACTAGTGATCCCTAATGAAAGCGGCGATGGCGGTATATCCTGTTGACTCATTCTCTTGCACTCAGATTTGGCGAGAAAGGCAAAAATCAGCAATCAGGTGTGGACGAATTACGGAAAGAGCTGGGATTGCCTCCACTACAAACCGAAGCTGTAACGTACCCTCCCTACGAAAGGGTAACAGCCGTTTTTCGGGTATAGGTTTTTATTCGTTGTCAGCGACTTCTAAATTCGTAATTTTCAGTCGCTCTCAGCCCGAGTTGGTCCTAGTTCTTTGGATAATGGAGGATGTAATATTGGAATACGAAACGCTGTGGAAAGTGGATCATTTGAGCAGAAACGCTATGTTGGAGGTAAGATAATGGCGTTTTGAGTGGGAATTAGGAATTGTCATTGAAACCATTATACTTTTATTTTATCGAGGGGAATATAGGAAGTTAAAAGTAGACTGCTAATGTCAAGAAAAGGTGGAAGGAGTTTAGTA